TTTACTTCCAGAAGTAGTGCTGTTGTCCTCGTTTGTGCGATTTAACACCTCTAGATTAATTTTTATGGAACTATGTCGTCATTAGTTTATACCGACAAACCCGCAACTCTAGAACCATTGCAAGCCAATATTCATACCACAACTGATGCCATACTACAACATTTATTGGAAAAAAGTCAAAAATTAAACTAATCGAATGAACTACATTCAAAAGATAAATTCCATGCAATTATCTACGAGATTATAATAAAAAAAATTTTATTCCAACAATATTTCTGTCTTGTATTATCATCATAAGTTCTCAAGCAGCTAAAAAAACACGCGATAGCTGTAGGAACTTGCTTGACCTTATCAAGTAGTATTTGCTTACCAGTTTCGTTTTCAATTTAAAATAAATCTCTAGGAACTTTAACGGTTACTACAAATTAAACTGCATTTTCTCTGAAAAAATTAAATTAATGGAGGAATTCATCTTACCTTTATCTTCTACTCTGAATAATCATGCACGTAGTCATTCATATTTTCTCCATAACGATGTCAAGACTTAAATCGAAGATTGGCACCATGTACGTAGCCGAAATTATCTCCGTCAATAAGACAATAAGTAAAGTTTAGTTCTAATTCTTTGAAAAATTTTTCTCTAAGTATGAGAAGGAATATACATTCTACTTCACGATTCAGAAGAATCTTGACTAGAATTTTTTTTTCATTTCAAATATTGGAAAATCAAGAAAAATTCCACTTTTCTTGCCATTAACTAGACAATTATTACTTTCGACTCATATTACTTTTAAAAATATAACTTTCTTCAATATATTGCAAACATCTATATCGATATCTTAACATATACAAACAAATCTCCACAACTCTTCTTCATTAATCTATCACATTTAGAAAGAGGAGTCCAGTTTTAGGATGATGCCACCCAAACTTAATCATCATGGGCTGCCATACTAAAACCATATTAAGTCAGTTACAGTACCTCGGTGATGTGCCACTAAAGCTACTTTTGTACTTTATTACCAACAAAATCAGATGTTGTCAAAAAGCATATATAAGATATTTGGTGTTTTATAATAGCAATTAAGTGCTTTATAATTATATATTATTTTCATTGTGATAATTTTTCCTATAAAAGGTTCGATTATAACTCAGTAATCTTCGAAGAGTGTTATGCTCGGTCACATGATTATATTAATATAAATATATCTACACAGGTTGAGGATTATATATAAAACCTTTATTTTGTTTCTCTTATATATAATTTTAAAGTGCTACTAATTTCCACTTTATTGTATTAATAAAATACGAAATCACATTTATTAATTAATTATATTATATCAATACAATTTGACTATACAATTAAATTAACTTCTGTTCGAGATAGCTTCACATCTGTTGTTAGAGTAATTGGAGTCCAGGGAGTAAAATTTTTAAGCCATGAAGCTTTTATTTCTATAAATGATTTAAGAGCTTTATTTATTTTATTGTTTAAATTTAAGATAAATAAAACTTTTTTCTTAGTCTTCGGTTTGAATCTTTAAAGTCTGATATAGTTTGGGAACGTAAAGTTTATTTCACATAAAGAGTGGTTCAGAACTAAAATGTTAAGTTGATTCATACTAAATTTATGATTCTTTTGGAAATGAGTTTGCTGTAAAAATAATTTGTTTTTAAAAACAGGTGATTACTGACCTCCACATTTGAAATATACGTTTCACTATAATAAAAAATTTGCAGGAACCGGAATAAATAATCAGGAAATGCTAGATGTGGAGAATATTACATTCCACACTAATTCACGACAGGATACCTGAGTACTATTTTCAGAATATAGTACATATATATATTTATATAATATATATATATATTTATATAATGTATATAATTTTCCTATAATATATATTTTCACTATTTAAACGCTTTGATCTTCGTCATCGAAGTTGTGATATGAATAGAATATATTATGTCCTGGTGAGGCTTTCTGTCAGAATACATGTATTTTCAGTACTAAATAATATTTATTTATTTGTGAATTAATATTAAAATTAATTTTAAAGTTAACTAAGAATAGGGCACTGGACGGATAGGTCCTTCGCTATAATGTAAATAAAATTATTTTCAAATATATTTGTCATCAAACCAAATTAAATTCTTAGATAAACTATAATATTTATTTATCACCATCAAATAATCAAAAACATAACACCCAGTAATAATATTCCATTCTCACTTCACATCAATTATCGAATATGTATTCTCGAAAATAATTAATTGACGAAGCTAGTCAAATTGGTAATGAAACCCTTCAGACTTCTTAGTTCTTATTTATGAAGCACCAAATCTTATTTATGAAATCAATTATCCCAATAATTTTGCGTTAAACAACGGTTCGAATTTGTTAACGAACCGAAGTAATAAATATGTGGATTCATGGATTCGTAGATTCGTGTTCCACTGACTTCGACGGTACAACAAGGTGTTAAGTATGAAACTAATGAGCAAATCATTAGCAATTATGTACTTAACTGTGTAAGCTCAAGGTTTTTGAGCTCATTAAGTATGGTTTCGAATGTATTAATGATTGTGCACCTGCAATAAATTATACTTAACATATTTACAAAAACCATTAAGCGAAATAATATGACTTTATAACTGAAACATAAATTCAGACGTATAGGAATTGTAGAAAGAAAATAATAACTGAAATTATTTTTATTAAAGCTTTAAAAATGTTATTATTAAAAAAATATCAACATAAAGGACCTCTATTTTAAGTTATATTGGAATGCAAGGATTATGCACTTAACGAAATCTCTTTACTAAATCATATATTATAATATTATGATAATATTATAAAGAAATTATTTAACGTATATCTGATAATCAATTTATCTTCAACTCAGACACGCAGCCATTTTCCAAATATATCAACTAGAAATAAAGTCTACATCACCATTAATGGATTCATATAAAAGATAGTTAATCACCACCGCAGAATCATGATTTCGGACAGTCGTTCTTAGATATTTTAGTCGCTTTTATCCTTTTTATCTTATTAATTTATCGTATCCACCATAACACCCATTATGAATACACAACTATCGTAACATATAATTGTCATGTTAGGACGTTCATCAGCTCCATCTATCATCAGTTAATTCAGATTATCCTCATAGAATCAATCAATCTCTTAACTTAACTACTAACAAGGAGTTGAACCATTTTTAAAGTTGACTAACGATGCGCGCTTTTAGACCAACACACCCATACAGATCTCTTAAGTATAAGATAAGATCTTAAGACTAAGATCTCTTAAGATTATAACTTTATTTCAGTTTAGTTTAGTTTAGCCTATTATATTTTAGCAGTACCATTTAAACCATTTCTTAAGTCGACACTAATTAGATCTTACTTAACTAATATGTTTACTATATATAATTGACTAGGATATTATTTTCTTCAAAAGTTTAAATTCATACCAATTCGGGAGTCGATAGTTATTGGTACTAGATCTTATCATGAAAACTGCTCGGACGTCAAAGAGCCAACACTAACCTTAGTGTCTTTTCTTTTAGACCGTAGCTCCAAAGCAGTTCAATCCTAAACGGTTAATAATTAATATGATAAATAATAATAATAGTTAACGATAAAATAGTTTTGTTAATAAATTTTCACGTGTAAGTTCTTTAGAACACAATTCCATTGACTTATAATGGACGACAAGTACCGCATCCAACAAAGCCGTTTCTTATTGTAATTTGATTACTACATTAACATTCTTCAACGAATTATCTCCTAGCAACATCGCTGACTTGCTTATATCGTGTGGTTAAAAAACCATACTCCAGTGGAAACCTGCTTTAAATGACACTCAATGTCGAATAAAAAACTAAGAAAACTCTTAATGTCTAGGGTCAGCTCCTGTTGAAGAAATTGAGCCATTTTAACCATGTTAAGCCATAAATCAATAGGAACCAAATTTCTTAAACTAAAAGTTATAAACAACATCCATATCTATTTTCTTATCCTTATTCCTATCTTAAGTCATATTTTTCTTCCTATTTCAAACTATTATCCCGTGTTTCGTTAACATTTTACGTACTTCCGTTTAGGGAACTCCAAACCTTTTCTCACTTCACCCATACTATCCCTTTGTATGTTGTTATGGTAACCCACTGGGAGCTGCTTGTAAAAACACTTTAGCGGGTGTTGAAGAGCACTTAATTGTCGAGATTGACAAGTGCTTGCTTACCATATCAATTTGGCCTACAACAACTACTGCAAATAGCACTAACCAAGTCATACTTGATAAAGAAGACTAGGGACGATCCGGAACAATTCGCAACAATAACATTCATGATTATACATGGTTTATTGACAATATGACTTAGGTATTATTTTTCTTCAACACAAGCATATGGTTACTACTAAGTAATCATTATTGCAATGCTAAAGTCTCAATTAGCTAAAGATCACGAAGTGATGAGCTAATCATACCCAACCTCTAAGCTGCTTTGGTAGCGTGATGCATAAAGCATTAATTTCACTAAATATTCCATTTAGCATCCATCAATGAAAACAGCTTGAATCTAACATAATATGCAAATATATCACATTTTAATAGATGTGATGGATTTAATATATAATATATGCAGCGGATTTTATGTATATAAACACATTTATACATACAATATTATTTATGCAATAACATTGAATAAAAATTGTTTTAAATGCAGTTTAAACTACTGATGTTTCGCATAAATTGGAACTTAACACGCACACAAGTTCCCAGTTGGGCGCACTGAGGCATGTAACGAATTTGCCTGTCATCCGCTGAAGTGGCGGATTTCACACACAAACGGCAAAGCAAACTCACGCATGAACAAGTAGCAAATCCAAGAGTAATTGCTGCACTTTACCCACCCACACCCACAAACGTCGCCACACGCACTGAGCTACGCAAAACAGTTGCTTTCAGAATTTAATTAGCAATTTTATTCTATAATTTCAGAAATAATTAAATTTTTATATAACATAAATAAGTTATATTTAAATCACACTACACAATATCTCTCAACTCTCAACTATAAATTCATTCCAACTAATCATCGTCCATCTTGTAATCTGTGTACATCGCATTCGAATTCGTTTCAGCTGTATTAGTGGATTCCATCGCCTCAACATCGCGGCACTTTGCTGCCAATAATTCTCTTCTAATTTCACTAGTAATTTTTGGATGCGATTGTTTACGCAAAAGATTTAATAAAAGCTCCTTTTGGTCGGAGGAGATATCACTTTTATAGCGCTGGACGAAAACGAGTAAACTGTGGTGCCACAACACTGGCATATCGCGTTTGTCGTGCTCAAACCTCAGAAAATGAAAAACTGCAGCATCAATCACGCGGTATGGCAATGCGTAACGCTTGTTCAGTAGATAACGAATAAATATGGAATTGGCACCAGTGTAACCCATTTCGCAAATCTTCAACAAACACGCAGATGCATGCAGAACAGGCACAGAGTTGCGCGCTATAACGCTACCGAAAATAATAGCTTCACGTAAGTTGCAATCACCCGATTCCAATAGTGGCAAGATGATGCCTTTCATAAAAGCAGCCGGCTTGAACAAAGCCTTCTTGAGTGCACTGTATAAGTGCATATTGAGTTTTTTGTATTCACACAAATCATCTCGTATTCTGGGCAGTAGCACTAAATTGTAAAATCTTTGTGCCATTGGTTCTGACAATACCGAACAAAATATTCTCGTTCCTTGGAAGACAGCCGCAGCACTCCAATTGTGCGGTTCAGTGATGAAAAGTATTTGTTCCCAATTTTTCAATTTGGGTATGACTTTAAATGCCTTCGGTATTTTACCACTACGATAGCGCTTCATAACATCTCGCACAGATTCGTACATGCTTTTAACCCTTGGATCAATATCTTCAATGTCTAATGAACCAGCATCACTTAATTTCGACAATACGCCGGCTTGTTTCTCTTTAATTTTTTCCATAACGACTTCAGTCAAATTGAATGTTTTCTTTTCAGTTTGCGGATTGTAGAATCGCTCAAAAGTCTTCATATCTTCCGGATCCATTTGTATGTCATCGAAAAAGTCTGTGTCAGTAACATCGATGTCTTCGCTTTTGTTATCCAAGCCAAACTTAACACTTTTGGTTATTTTGAAGCCGGCATCTTCCTCCTTCTCTTCCAGGTGTTGTTTTTTTGCGGCGGCCAAAATTTTCTGACTTGTTTTGCTATCCAAAACTGCAGACTCCTCTGTGCGTAAACGAAACTTTTCGGGATTTTTTATTTTCTCATCTTTATCTTTAATCACAATTACTTTCTTTGTTTTTCCCATTTTAAATCAAATATTTCGTTCAGGAATTTCGTTAATTTTATATGTGGAACGCACGTTTTATGTTCAACCACCAACTTGTTGTGTTGTGTTTCTGCGCAGAACGTATTTTACTCTGTAACCAAACAAAACTTATTTTATTATTGAAAAACGTATTACCCCTTAAACACTTACTAAGTTCCTTCACAATTTATATTAAATTTATTATTTTATATTACTTTTTAAATTAATTTTAATAATAATTATTCGCCATACAATCCCACACACGTGCCGACGGAGAAAGAAAACGCAAGCAAAACAAAACATGCGAACTGTCAAAACAGAATTGGGTTTGTGTTAACAGTGATGCCACATGGGCAAATACACATAACACAAAAATTCTTATGTTTTGCTTGAGTATTTATGCAATGAGCAAGCATTTGCCAAGTAAAACCATTTTAAAGCGAACTTTTAATGTTATTTGAAATTTTTTGTGAAATCACTACAAGTTTAGCATTACTCAAATTTTATTTAAATTATGCTAGAAATTGATTTGAATATTTGTCACTACGATTTGAGTGCAGTTAATTTTTATGTTAATTTTATTAAAAGTTCTTAAAATTTTGTAAAACGAGTTTGCACAAAAGTGATGCTACATACGAGATTTTAATAAAAATAGTAATAAGTTTTCGTCAACTCATATTTATATTATGTTTCCACTGCAGCTAATACTACATATATTAATGAAATTAAGAGTTCGTCGTTTCCGTGTCTTATACATGTGAAATAATTTGTTTGTTTATACTGAATTCACACAAGAGTTTTGTTTATCATTTTAGCTGTCAAAAATTTTAAACTGACATCTGCAATCAAAAAGCAGAAATATCGTTAAACATACAACATTATTGTAATTTGTTTGTCAGATTTATCATATATGCACTCTTTTTAACTATTTTCACTAAATATTTACTTGGCACATATGATATACTCGTATGGAGATAACAATTTTGTTTTATTTAGTATGAAAATTTCATTCAATATTGCGTTCACAATAGCACAACTTTACTCTGTACAATACTATACTATGGTGAACTGTCCAACTTAAAATCAACTTGATTTTGTAAAAATTACGAATCATTCTGTTTTCAGCTCCTAAAATTTCTACACAAATTAATGTTTGTAACTTATTTTGCTACCGAAATCAAGAATAATTTCAAATGATAACTAAAATTAAAAACAAAACTTTCATGTAAATGCAATATTACATTTTACGTATAAAACACATAACGTATATGACAAAATAAAAATTTTGGTAATTTCACATTTCAACATTTCAAAACAGTTGATTTGTAATGACCACATGAAAGCTCTTTGTATATTAAATTATTCTCTTTAGCGAACTTAAAGAGCAAAACAACTTAAATGACACAAGTTTGATGTAAGAGAGCGCCGGATGTTTTGGTTTAATGCGACGAAATATATAAATCGATAATAAATATATTTTGTTTTGAAATCTTATAATTCTGTTAATATTAAAATCCTTTCAATAAACTAAACAGAATTTAATTTAATTTTTGTTCTATTATAAAAAAAAATATGATAAGTGAATGTTATATTTATATTAATAATTGCTGCCAATTTTTCGAACTGTTAAAATACAAATTTTGTGGATATGCAAAATAATTAATCTTAATACAAAGTTTTCAAGTTTCAAGTATTAAATCTTGTTAAACCATGAATATATCAACATTTATATATATAAATATTGAAAACATATAATTTACGTACGATGTTCATATTGACACATTTCTGTTTTTCACACACGATTCATTTTTCCCATTGTGATCACGCCTTTAATTTGTTTTAGAATTGATAGAACAAATTTAAGTTATAATTTTATTTATAGTTTCAATTAACTTTTATATATAATTAATAATTAATATATATAATTAATTTATTTTAATTAATTCAATTAATTAATAAATTTATTGTTATTATTTACTGCTGTTTAAAACACCACTCTATTGAAAATTTTAGTTATATTAGAAATGTAGCTTTTTTCGTCAAAACAGACATCAAAAATCAATTAAATATATGTAGACATATATATTTAATTTTATTAAAATCATTCTGTCAACATAATTGTAACAAATATTTTGGTGAAAAATTGGACAAATAACTGCATACAAACAAAAAAAAATTTAAATTAGCTGATTTACTGATAATAAGATAATTTATAAGAAAACTCATTTGTGGTAAATTATCATTATTAATGGCTATAATGAGTAAAACCGCTTAAATGAGACAGCGCAAATGTCCTAAAAACGTTAACTATGTGCAAGGGGTTATTGTAATCATAATTGTAGAGTGAAATCAGAGCGTCTTTTAAACGGTTTTTCTGTTTTGCTTTTTTGTAAAATCATTTATTAAGAGCTTTAATAATCACTTTCCAATGGTTTTTTTTTCATTTTTTATGCTTTCAAACATATTATAAACAATGGAAGTAATATCTGAAGAATTTAGAATAGAAAGTAGTTCAAAATGTAATTCGTATTGTATAAGTTATAAGTAGCTGAAATATGCAATTTGTATTGCGTATTATTCCACCATTATTGTGCCACGATGCATTAACTTAAAGTGGTATTAATACCCAAATATGATTTGGTGAGTATGAATATTATATAAACTCACCACGATTACTTGATCAACAAAAATGTAAATTAATACTGAACTATTCAAGGTTCCACATATACAGGCCAACATGGGATTATAAAAAAATATATCTAAAAATTTATTTCCACCAAATAATAATTAAAAACGTTGGTAGAGCATAAAATAAAAATTGTGTAAATCAAAATATATTCGACGAGATTTAAGTCCCATAAGGCGGATTATTGCCGTACAAACGCAATTACAAAACCAAGTACAAATTCAGGCGCAACACAGTGGATATGCAATTACACATATAAACACACTGTAAAGAGGTTCGTAGGTGTTAAAACAATTAACTGCTGACACATCCCAGCGGGACTTTCAGCGCTGAGGGAATCGATTCCCTCAGCGCTGAATGGTAATGCCTAGCGCTGATTATTCAAAGGAAACTCCTAATTACTTTAACACGTGCATGTCATTGCGGGCAAGCGCTGAATCGTTCGATTACCTTTTCGTATTTGTAATGCAACATATCAGCGCTGACATGTTCGCTTACTTTTTCGAATTTGTAATGCAACATATCAGCGCTGACATGTTAGCTTACCTTTTCGAATTTGTAATGCAACATATCAGCGCTGATATGTTCGCTTAAATTTTCAATTTTACCTATGCTATTGATTTTTAAATAAAATACTAAAAATTTTTTTGGATGAATTATATTTTATATTTATGTTTTATAAAATCAAAATATTAATATTTACATAAAAATATATAATATATTTATATATCATATTAACTTATTTACATTTTAAATTATTTATATATAATTATTTACATGTTAATTTATTTAAATATTATCTCATTTACATATTAAATTGTTAACATATTTTCATATTAATTTATTTAAATATTAACTTATTAATATCACCATTAATATGTTCAGCTGTACTGCAGGAAGGTGTTGTTTTCGTACCAAAATTTTGAAAATCATTTTCTATAAAAGAATAAAATATTTTAATAAATGCACGATTAAAATTCCCTGTTTCATTTATACCTTCTTTTTTAAACGATAAAAATTCCTCCTTTTTCTTTTTCACCAAACATTTATAATGTCTTACAGTATGCATCTATATAATACAAAACAAAAATTATAATTATCATTTTAAATATATTTACTTAATTTTGCATATACTTACAGTGAGTTTATGTTAAATTACTTTTTCAGCGCTGGCATAATGGTGCCGCTGGGATGTTTTGCATTGGCCGTATAAGTACTGTAGGTGCTGTTGTTGTTGTAATTTTTAGTGCTTTATATGCCTTAAAATTGTTTGCATTAAAGCAAAAACAAAAAACAATAACAAAACACAAAACAACAATGCAAGCACAGCGCCATAAACAAAAAAGGGTTAGCGGTTTGTGCTGCTGACATTTTTATTGTGAGTGCATAAAAGACAGCCTGTTCGCTGCAAATACAATACACACACACACAAATGTACACACATGGCTTACATTTGCCACTGCAAATGCGAATTTACTTAACAGTATTTATGAACAGATTTGCGCTTGTACTCACTTTCATGTTAAAGCGTATTTATGCATGCATGCAGGCGCAGGCAAGAGCAAGTGCGAAGGCATAACATTTTTCGGTTAACAAAACCCTTTAAGCCATAATGTGTTTAGGCATACTTAATTACTTTTTAACGCACCGTAGAAATTAGTCCGCCTTTATTTTACTCACATTTCACCTTAGTATATGTTTTATATTCGTGTATATGTACATATATATGTATGTATGTACAGTGGTACATTATAAACAAAAATATTTCCCTCTTATGGCAAGTGGCACCTGTTATTGTTTTTAATTTTTTAAATTTGTAGGCATACCATTCACCCCTCAAGGACTTTGTTACTTTTAAGGAGTCTTGAGTTTTGTAAAGAAAGCCGATTTTTAAGAGCTGACATATTACAAAGCAAAAAATGCAACAAATTTATAATGCAAAATGTTTCAAAGAAATAAGATATGTAATCTGTTAACTACATGTACTATACATATAACAGCGGTACAGTATAAATAAAAGTCAATGGAATTTAGTTTAGTGTGCCTAGACATTGCGTTCTATAACAAAAATTAATTCATAAAAACTAATTCTGAAAAATCAGTCCATTGTGTTTAGTGCCAGCGAAGCCAGCGAACCCGTTGAATTTTTATACGCTTAACTATGTCAATGTCGCGGTATAGCTCATACAGTTCAATCATCGTTCCATCTATTTCGATATTCGTTGCCAATGCATAATGGACCTTAGGTCTTCTTCCAAAGAATTTTACCTTCGAATGATTCCAGCAATTTCTCATCACTGTTGGTAATTGTCCAACCTTCTACACCACACAGCAGGACAGATATGATAAGAGATTTGTGGAGCGTGATTTTTGTTTGTTGAGAGAGGACTTTGTTTCTCAATTAGCTCGTTAGCCTGAAGTAACATCTGTTCGTAAGAGCGATTTTCGTTGAATCTCTAGGCTCCATCTAATTCGATATTCCTTGCCAACGCGTAAGGGACAATAGATCTTCCGAAGAATATTACAGGTATGATAAGAGAACGTGATTTTTGTTTGTCAAGAAAGGGCTTTATTGGATGCTTAGCCTGAAGTAACATCCGTTGGTTAGAGTGAATCTTCGTCGATTCTTTAGGCTGACGTCATTTTTCGTGTTTACGCTGGTTCCCAAATAAACCAAGTTT